CCTTGTGATTACATTGGGGGCCCACCTGGATAATCTGGGATAAACTCCCCATCTCAAGATCTTTAACTTAGTCACATCTGCACAGTCCCCTTTGCCACTATAAGGTAACACATTCACAGAGTCTGGGGATTAGACCATAGACGTCTTTGGAGGGTCATTATCGTGACCACAACAGACTGTTAAGCTTTGTAAGGACTGTCTCCACTCTTTGTTGCTATGCAGCGTCAGAAGTAGTCCCAGCCCCTGGGACACTGTAGATGTTCTTCAGTGTGTGAGGTGATGGAAGGGGTAGGGCTATAGCTTCGCAAGGTGAGCCCCTGGTTGTGGCAGCCCTGCTCAGTTCTCTCTTCCCCTGAGGTCTGGGCTGGCTCATGGCCAGCAGCCCATTTGTCATAGTTCCTGCTTCCCCATATGATGTGGTTCGTAGAGAATTCATAGGGCATTTGGCCTTCATGTTCCAAGGCAAATTTTTAAGAATCAACTTTATTGAGGTATAATTTACATATGATTAATTCATCCATCTTAAGTGTTCATTGAGTTTTGACAAATGAATACCCCCATGCAACCACCACCATAATCAGTATATGGGGTATGTGTGTTCATGGTTTCTTTCATTGTTTCAAAGTAGAGTTCTAAGACCTATAGCGATGTATGTAACCATCACCACTATCAGGATACTGAATGGATCTATCAGCCTCCAAAATTCCCCTGAGCTCCCCTCAGCCTCCCCCCACCCCCTCTCTTAACCCTTGGCAACCATTGATCTGTTATCTGAACCTATAGTTTTGTCCAAGGCAAATTTTAATCATGATTACCTAGTCACGATTACCATAATCATGATTATGAAAAACAACGCCTTTCCCTCCATGCGTTGTACTGTATCCACCTCCCCAAACTACATCCTTGGCACAAAGGCAAGAAGGGGGTGACCAGACAAAAACTCTGAACTGGGCAGGGTCACTTAAGATCCTCATCAGGCTCATGGTGGTCCCCTGGCTGCCTCTAGACCAGCCTCCATCCCGGTGAGGAGAGAGAACAACGATCCTGTTCACCTGAGTCAGGGAGAACATGGAACAGAAGTGAGTGAATCAGGTGAGCTGGCATTTTTAGTATGACCACAAAGTTGAAAAAGGTCAACCACCTGCACTGGAAGAGTGGTGAAGATGTGATTACTTCACATCAACAAATAGATTGCAGTTACGATTACAAAGAAAGAACTAGATCAAATACATGATACAACCTAGAATTTTTCTTGAGGTGAAATTCACATAACAAAGAATTAGGCATTTCAGAGTGTATAATACAGTGACATTGAGTATACCCACAGTGTTCTGCACTACCAGCTCTACCAACTTCCAAAACATTTTCAGCTTCCCAAAAGGAAACCTCGTACCCATCAGCAGCTGGCTCTACCTAACCCCTCATATTCCCGCCCCCCAGACCTAAGCAACCACCAGTCTGCTTTCTGGCTCTATGAATTACTCTTCTGGATGTCTCATCTAGTGACCTGCTGTGTCTGGCTTCTTTCACTTAGCATAATGTAGCATGTCCATATTTCATTCCTTTTCATGGCTAATATTCCAGTGTCTGGATATGTCACAGTTTATCCATGGATCTGCCGATGGACCACAGCATAGAATTGCCTTATTTTTAGTTTGAGCACCCTTGAGATGATTTCTGTATCTAGAGCTTAATTCCAATGTCATTCCTAAGGGCCCATGTGCTAAGCCTTCCCATACATGTTCTCATGCAATCATCCCCCGCTTTACACATTCAGGATCTGAGGCACAGAAGGATAAAGCTTATGGACCCACGTGGGAATATAAACCCAGGGTTCATCCCGCTTCACCTGAGCTGGTGTCTCTGAATGCAGGTAACTGAAAGCAAAGTCCACGTGGAAAGCAATTCCTTGGGGAAGATTTCAGTGTAGTCTGGACTAATCCAGAAAACCCTTGACTTCTGTGTCCTTCCACTGGTGGGTCTGAACGCCCTCCGCGAACACCTCTCTCCAGGCAGGCAGCCAGCATGCCCAGCACACGGGTCTCATCGCGTCCTTCCTTGATGTCCTCTCATTATTTTTAATTTCATCCGAGCCTCTCTAGCATCTTGTATTTTGATTCAGGGCGTTTCTCTGCCTCCCACTGGTCCAGCACAGCACTTCCTTTTCTCAGAGCTCCCCAGAGAAGTGCCCCCAGAAAATGGAGTTGGTCGTCCCTAATGAATTCATCTCTATAATGAAGAGTATAATATCCAAGCTCCAGCATATTTACATAGCAATCCCCACACAAAAGCAACATTACAAAGGGAAGATTTTTAAAAGAATGTCATCTCGAAGCTCCATTTCCTATAGTGCTAAGAACACTACGGGAATTACCCTGACAAGAAGACAAAAACGACTTCCAGGGATGCTGGGTTAGAGACAATAGCTACACCAGCCCCATTAATGTTTAAAGTCAATGGAGCATAAAAGTGCTTTTCTCTACTTACAGGCAGGCATCATCTTACAGAGAGGAGAAAAAAAATTACCATTTAAGTCTAAATCCTTAAGTCTCAACCTCCCCCCCCCCCCCATTTTTATTCCCACTGAAATACTCCAGTAAGTAGCATCAGAATGAAAATGAGAATCGCTCTCTTTGGGGGGAATGGCTTCCAATCCTCAGCAGTAAGTGTGTGAAGAGCCCTCCACCGCGGTGAAGAAGGGAGGCTGCCAGGTGGGAAAGGATCTGTCACCAAAACCTGCAAAACTAGCTGTGATGACATACCTGGGGCCTTGGGAGCCTCCAGGCTGACTTCAAAAGGCTTCAGATAAGGGCAGGTCAGGGTAGACATGAGGCAGAATTCAAGGGTAAATTCAAGGAAGTAATGCCTTCAGGGTATATTTTACTTAGTGGGCTGCAAGGAGGGGGAACATTTATCATTAATATATTAGCTGTTTCCCTGGGGGATTCGCAGGACTTGAGCCAGACCTCTGTTAGTAAATCATTGGACCTAATCCCACATTACATTTGTGTAATGCCTGACAAAGCCTGTTCCCATTATCTCATTTGATCCTGAAAACAATCCTCAGAGGGAGGCAGGGCAGGGATTATTTTTTCCATGTTACAAGTGAAAACACTTGTAAACTGATTTGCCAGGAGCCACACACCCAGGATGTGGCAGGAATGAGAGACTTCAATCTAGATCTTTGTACAACCTGTGCCTGTTCCCGGGTTCTTTTGACTCCACACAACAGACCGATCAAAATATTCCCAGCCCCGCCCAGTCCTCACAACCAGCAGTTTAGCCAGCAGCTAGGAACCCACCAGGAGAGTGTAATTTGTTCAGGCTGCCCACACACCTCTGTCCTAATGAAGATATACAGCCCTGACTGGCAAACCCTCTGGGGAAAAAAAAATCATTTCACATTGTCTCCCTACACCAAAGACCAAAATTAATCCCAGATGGATTTGAAAATAACAACAAACAAACAAGGCATTAAGGAAAAAAACCACTAAGGAAAACAAAAAATATTGAATAACTTTCTGGAGACATGAAGACTCTAAATTTAGCATTGTGTTAAAAGTCTCAAGGAAAGGGCTTTTGTAGATTTGGGGGCATTAAAATTTGTTAAGTTTTTGTCAGAAAAACATGACTAAAGGGCCAAAATAACCTGAGGAAATAGAGCAAAATGTGAAAGAAAAGGGTTAACTTCTGTTATGTAGAGGAGTCACTGCAAATACTAAGAAGCTCAAGATGAAAAACTTCCTAGGAAATAGACAATTCACCAAAAAAAGGAAGTACAGTTGGTTAATAAACATTTAGAAAACGGCTCTAAGTAAAAATCAAAGATATGAAAACACAAAGGAGATGTCAATCTATGAAATCAGAAAAAAATTTATTTTTAACTTTTAATATTCAACACTGACTTGGGAGGGTAAATGTGCTCAACCTTTGTAAAGCAATTTGCTACGTCGATCAGAAAACTTAAAATATCATTTGACCTAAAATTCCACTCTTGGGAATATGGTTTTAGGAAAGAATCATCAATACGAAAAAGTTTTACGCAAAGAAATGTTAGCCACGCACTTACACTGGTGAAATTTGGTAAACAGCAAACGCTAGAGGGATTGTTAAATAATTTATGGAACAGCCACTTGATGGAAACTTATGTAATCATTATAGGTTTTCAAAGTGCCTGCAAAAATAACACGAACACCATTTATGGTATAATGAGAAGTGGAAATGCGCGTACACTGTATGTGTGGTTGTTGGTAAAATACACTTCGATAGAGAAAGGCTGGAAAGAACACTTTTTTTTTAATATGAACATGTTTGAGTCCTAGGATTGGGATTTTTCCACCGTCCTATATTTCTATTTGATTTTTTTATTTTTTTTAATGAACAAAATAAACTTTTCTTTAGCCATTCAGTGGCATGTCCTTCTCTCCCGAATTCCAAGGACCAGAGCACAAGACGGAGCGGAAGTCTTAGAGATCCTACCCCGAGACGATCCCGCTCTCCTTTGCAAGGTCTCTGTCGCACCCCAATTCCCCCCTCCTTCCCCGCCCCCAGCGCTGCGAAGCGGGACTGCCGGCGGAGCCCGCCCCTCCCCCACTACACCAGGTCCGGGTGACTGCGGGTGCGCGGGGGAGGTGCAGGGCGGGCCCAAGCGTTGCTGACACGTGGGGAGCGAGGAAGCGACCGGGGAGGAGGGGTTGGGTGTGTGGGTAGGTGTGTCTGCGAGTGGGAGAAACCAACCCAGACCACCTCAGCGTCTGCATTTTCTCGTGTTGCCTACCCGGCGGAGAAAGTACTCAGCTCTCCCAACAACCGAGAGCCCCTCCTAGGTAGGTACCGAGAGCGAACACCAGCAGGCTCCAGCCGCGGCACTGCGCTACCCGCGACGACCAGCAAACAGTCCCCTGCTCGCGCGTTCCCCCCCCCCGGCCCGGCGCGGTGGTAGGGCCCGGCGGCGACGTCACCCATTGTTTACAAATCAACCCGAGCCGGTAGGATTCCGGCTCCCGCGGCTGCAGGCGCGCGGCGAGAGTGCCTGGCGGGCTCCCGCTTCCGCGTCCGCCCCGGCCCCGGCCCCCGCTCCGGCCTCAGCACCGTGCCCCGCTCCGCCGCGGCCCACCGAGCCCCGCGGGCCGCCGAGCCGCCAGCGCCGGCCGCCGAGCTCCGTGCGCCCGGGCGGGGGGCCATGCCGTGCCGGAGGGAGGAGGAAGAGGAAGCCGGCGAGGAAGCGGAGGGGGAGGCGGAGGAGGAGGACGACGACGACAGCTTCCTCCTGCTGGAGCAGTCGGTGACGCTGGGCGGCTCGGGCGAGGTGGACCTGCTGGTGGCCCAGATCGGCGAGACGCTGCAGCTGGACGCGGCGCAGGACAGCCCGGCCTCCCCGTGCGCGCCCCCGGGGCCGCCGCTGCAGCCCCCGCGGCCCCCGGCGGCCGTGCGGGCGGACAAGGCCCGGCCCCCGGCGCTGCCGCTGCTTCTGCCGCCCGCGCCGGCCGAGGCTGTGGGCCCGGCGCCCCCGGGGGCCCTGCGCTGCGCCCTCGGGGACCGCGGCCGCGTGCGGGGCCGGGCTGCGCCCTACTTTGTGGCCGAGCTCGCCGCAGGCCCCAGCGCGCTGTCCCCACTGGCCCCTCATCCCGGCCTTGATGGGCCTTCGGGAACCAACAAGCAGGACACCCCGCAGCCGCTGTCGGGCCCGTGCCGGCGAGGTTGGCTGCGGGGCGCTGCCGCCTCCCGCCGCCTGCAGCAGCGACGATGGCCCCCAACCGGGACGCGCGCCCGCGAAGACGACCCGCACCGGCTCCTGCAGCAGCTGGTGCTCTCGGGGAACCTCATCAAGGAGGCGGTGCGGAGGCTTCAGCGAGCCGTCGCCGCCGTTGCAGCCACGAGTCCAGTGGGCGCAGCTGGGCCGGGAGGCGGCCGCGGCGGACCGGACCCTGTCGCCCTGCAGCCCTCTGGCGCTTTGCACTGACCCCGGGCCCCTCGAGGAGGAAGAGGACGCCGCTTCGCAGACCCAACAGCGTCCTGCCCTCACCAACCGTGAGCTGAAGCCGCCGTCGCGGTCCTGGGAGCGACCGCCCAAGCTGCGGAGAGGCGCGTGGGGAGAGACCTCAAGACGAGAAAGAACTTACGGCCCCAGCGAGGCTGTCGGAGATCAAGAGCGCGGAGAAATGCACGGGCCGGGGCCCAGAGGTGCCGCGTGAAAGTTTCCTCGGCCACCTCGGGGCCAAGGACCTGCGATAAACAGAGAACTATGGCAGCTACTTGCATCGACTTGTACCTGACTTAACTCTTGGGGGCGTTGTGTGCTTCGATTGTTTAAAGATAGGGTTCCAAGGGGCAGGTATCGCCTGGGCTTTATTAACAATACTTGAAAACTAATGATGCGCAAACATTTTATTTTCTGGTGAAGAACTTAGTGGAAATGGTGCTACATTTTGCCGTGCAAAGAAATTCCAGAGGGAAGAGGAATGGAAAAGCTTGGTGGTGTGTGGGTTGCCATCACCCTCTTTTTCCCACCCAGTTGGTGTTCGGTGGAGGCGGGAGGTGTAAACTCCAGTTAGCGGGTTAGAGGGAGGTGGAGAATTTTGAAGGTGGGTAGATTTGGAGTTGAATGTGGACTCTTAACTGACTTGACCTTGCCACCTGTGGTTCAAGGTCACAGTTTGCTCTCTGGCTGAAGGCTGTGGGGTTCCTGGAAGAGCTAAATTCACCCCTAGGTCTTTTCTTTCTCTTGCTCCAACAAGAACCCTGTCTGTGCTTTGCTACCTTTTGGAGTCTCCCGAAGACACACAGAAAACAGAGAGGTTGGGCAAGTGGGGAGAGTTATTTGTTTTTTTGTGCTTTCCTCTTTCCAGAACTCCTCCTCCTCCTCTTTCCCGGAGGCCACTCTTGGCCTAGCCATGAGCTTTCTCAGAAAGTCGTAAACAGTGTTCCCTGTCCTCCCCGCCAGACTCACTTATTCCGCCCTATCTGGTGTGCGGTTGGGGTAGATGAGACCCTGGCCGTTCTGGCCGTCTGGGGCGGTGGGCCTGAGCCTTCGTGGGTCCTCATCCCTCAGTCTTCTCCTGTCACCGGCTCTTCTTGTGAGTGACTGAAACTGTTTAAAATGTGACTCTCCGAGTGGAGAACCCGCTGGCTTTACCCTTGTGAAACTTGACGGCACTTTGAGGAAAGTGCCACCCCCCAACTTTAAGGTAGCTAAACAGATTTTAAAAATAGTTTCAATGGCTTGTTCATCCTCCAGATGTAGCTATTGACGTACACTTCGCACCGGAGTGTCTGAACTTGTGGTGGTCCTGATTTATAGGATTTCTTAATTAAAATGTCTGCTGAATAAATTTGGTTTCTGTTTTGGAGCATGTTTGGCTTTTTGGTGGAAGGTGGGGGAAAGAAAAGCACATAGGGGATACCTTGATAATGAAGGGGGAGGGTACTTGGGGGAACCTGGGCTGAGGGTCGGAGCCAGCTTTGCTCCGCAAAGAATACTGGTGGAGCTTCAGGACGTCGTTGTTTCTGGGTTGGTGTTACACGAAATCGGCAAATTAAGTCCAGATTTTTAAAAACTGCTAGATGGGCTTCCATCCCCTTTGTGGAATAAGAACATATTCCAGAAATGCTCTCTAGGCGGGAGGGCAGAGGCCAAGAGACTTGATGTGTCTGGAGAGGGGTGGGGAGGGGTGCTTTTCATCTGGATTTGTGCATGTGTGAGGAATGGGAGGGCACAGGCAAAGCCAGCCTGTTTCCTCTTGGAGACTAACCCAGTCCTGAGCTGTGGCCTAGGGAAGGGAAAACAGTTCAACAGCACTGTATTTGGTAGTGTTAAAATAGCTTGGTTTGAGCAGGCGAGGGTGAGATTAACTGAAGTTTTCCTGTCCTCAGGCCTATTTTCCCCAGGCATGGAGCCCTGGTTGAGTCCCTCCAGACTTGGTCCGGCCCAGAGTTCTACCACCCAGCCCCCTCAGGAACTTCTCCTTAGCCCCTTTTCGTCCCTTGCCTGCCCATCGTTTTCCCAGCGGGGGTGCAGGGGAAGGCTAGTATTCAGAGACCCAGGCCTGACTCGGCCATGCTACCTACTCACCCATCTGTATCATGACGAGCAAGTCCCTGCTCTGTGCGTGTTCCTTCTCTCGTTAATAAAAGAATACTACTTAATAGGCAGTTGGGAGGGTTGAAGGAAGATCAGAGATGTCTGGGATAACTTAACATCCTCCAAAAATGTTGGTGGCTAATTCTTGGCCACATCCTTGGTCAGGGGATCAAATGTGCCCCACTTTGCCCTCACTAACTTTAGCCGCCATAATACAGGCTGTCCCCAACCTCTTGCTACTGTACCCTATAAGTCCCTCTTCCTAACTCCTTCCAGAAATCTGCTTCCACGTAACCTTCCAGACCAGTCTGTTTTCTGCTTTCGTCATTCTGGGGGTAGTATTCACTGGGCACACATGTGCCAGGGGTTACTATTCTGGGTTTCCTCCCATTAAGTCATGGTTTTATGGGCCATAACGTAGGGACTGTTTTCTCCATTTTATAGATGAGGACACTGAGGCGCAGGAGACTGAGTGACTTGGCCTGAAGTCACCACCTTTATTTTTTAATGTTTTATTTTGAGAGAGAGTGCGGCTCACCTGTGGGCACGTGCCAGCGGGAGAGGGGCAGAGAAGGAGAGAGGATTCCAAGCAGCCTTCACACTGTTAGCACAGGGCCCGATGAGGGGCTCAATCTCACAAACCTTGAGATCATGACCTGAGCCGAAATCAAGAGTCAGGAGCTTAACCGACAGCCACCCAGGCGCCCCTGAAGTCACCACCTTTTAAGTGAACAAGTTGGGATTTGAACCCAGGCAGTCTGGTTCTAGGATCTCCTGTTCCTCAACCAGACCTTCTAGTCTCCTGTACCCCCTGTAGGAGACTTCCTTGACACCATTTTCTCCCATGTTGGGTTTATTAGGGTTTCTTAAGAGCATCCCACTAAATACCTTAACACAATAGTGTCACTGTTCTCAAACTTGTCTTGAACACCAGCCACGTATATGCAAAGTACTGGGGCTCTGGGATGGGTTAGGGTTTGAGACCTCCTGGAAGAATTCACAAGCAGCTTTGGGGCCAAGGCCTTCACATAAGACAGTAGACATTGCATAAGAAGGGTGTGGATAACAAACGGTACATGGCTGCTGCTTTTAGAACCTTGAGTTGTCTAAGATAAGGGCATCGGGCCAAGATGGTGCAGTCTCAGCCAGGGCAGGTGTCCTGTGGGTCTGCACTGTTCCCAAGAGCACTTGGAAATGAAATTAGAATGGTGCCTGCAGACAAGGAGAGAAGCTGGGACCTGAGAAGCTAGGTATAGAGAAGGAAAGAGAAGTGTTATCTGTTAAGGGTACACACTCTGTCGACACCTTTTATGAGACATTACTCTTTACAATGGGGAGAGGGATGAATTGGTGGCGGTAGTATGGGGTCCAGACTCATGGCTGTTAAGCTGATCCTGTTGCCTCCTCCCTGAATCTACCACATCTCTCCTGAACAGCCCCCTCTATGGATTCAGCCATTTGCAACGGTTGTAGAAGGCCAAAGCCTGGGCCTGGGCCTGGGCAAGTATCTCTGCATTGAGGCAATGGCCCTTTCCAAGTGTTGGAGCTTGGGATAGCCCATTCCTAGTACTTGGCCCAGGAATGACTGTGGCTGGGATATCCCTAGCCCTTTGGAGTAGTTGGGCACAGAACTGGGGGGTGGGGCGGGGTGTGAGATGGCAGAATTGAGACCGCTCCCATCTTCTGAAGGGGCTTGACCTAGGTTTCCCTGGTAGCATCTGGCAAGTTTTGAGCTCTTAGGAGATCAGAAAAATAGGGAAGTGGCAAGGAGAAGCTGATTGTTGGGGTGGGGGTTGATCAGGAGCTTCATGTGTGAAGTTACAGGGACGGTAGCCTGCTGCCTCATAAATGATTAGGAGTTGGAGTGAGGGAGCTGTGCTGAAGATAAAGACTTGGCAGTTAGAGCTGAGATGGGTGGATGGATCCTAGGAGATGCTCTCAGTCGGGAAGCAGTAATAACACTAGCTCATGTCCATAGTGCTTACCGTGTGCCAGGCTCTGTTCTAAGTACTTTACAAAGACCACCTCATCACATCTGTGTGGGAGGAAGGAGAGTAAATAACAAGAATAGACAGAAAGTAAGAGTAGAACCAAGAGAAGCCAAGGAAGGGAGGCTGAAGAATGGACTGTAAGGGATGGCGGGTTATGTGAGTGTGTCTGCACATGCTTATGTGTATGCACACAGACGGCTGCATCTACATTATCTCTCTGTACAGCCTCTGTGACTAGGTCCACGGTATATAGAATCAGATCTTAGTGACTTTCACTGTCTTTAAAAAAATTTTTTTAACCTTTGCTTATTTTTGAGAGACAGAGAGAGAGCACTAGCTGTGGAGGAGCAGAGAGAGGGAGACACAGAATCTGAAACAGGCTCCAGGCTCTAAGCTGTCAGCACAGAGTGCAACGTGGGGCTTGAATGCAAAAGCTGTGAGATCATGACCTGAGCTAACGTCAGACGTTTAACTGACTGAGCTACCCAAGCTCCCTCCTCCTCCCCCTCCTCCTCCCCCTCCCCTCCCCCTCCCCCTCCCCCTCCCCCGCCTCCTCCCCCTCCTCCTCCTCCATTTATTTTGAGAGACAGAAAGCATGAACAGGTGAGGGGCGGAGAGAGAGAATCCCAAGCAGGCTCGGTGCTGTCAGTGCCCAGCCTGACGTGGGGCTTAATCTCACAAACCATGAGATCATGACCTGAGCCAAAATCAAGAGTCAGATGCTTACCCCACTGAGTCACCCAGGTGCTCTGTGACTTTCACTGTCTTTTTTGCACCCCAAACTTATTCAATTTCCCTGCCTCAGCACCATTAAACAAAATAGGTCTTGAACATCTGCACTGTGAGTTCCTCCCCTCTTTAACCCAGCTGAAGCAAAGTACCATCTATGGTGCATCTGGAGAAAGGTGATTATGACTCCAGTCTAGGGAAGATTTTTGGGAAAACCTAGGAAATCATTTTTCACCCATGCTAGGTCATGGAATCTAGTTTCGATGGTAAAAAAGAAACAGGCAAAAAGGCAGGCCAAAGGTAACAAGAAGATAACCAGCTTGTGACTTTTTTTAACCCACCCAAATCAATAAGCCAAACAAAAACTGCCTGAACAGCCTATCAGCTGGGGGTTGTGAATTTTACCTTCTCTGAGTCAGTTAATTGATAAGGGGAAGCAGTTAATAAACTTGATATCAGATTTAGTTTCCATTCTATTGTAGCATAAGATGACGGGTCCTACAAAGTGGTTTCAAGGGCCAGCCTTGCTGTGGTAGGACAGTTTGTGACTCAGGAGCTGTCACAATCGTGGGACACCCAAGCTTATAGTCCCCCTGAGCCCTGCCCTTCAAACCCGTGCAGACGGGGCATCTTGTGCCTTCTTGCCTCCTCAGGCAGGCCTATCCCTGAAAGCATCTTCAGTTGCTCCTTCTGCACGTCCTCCATGGCCGTTAGACAGGATCAGGTCTCTCCTGGTTGAGCGAATCCTCCCGTTGGCCCAGTTTTTCCTTTTTAGCTGCTGTCCCTCCTTTCCCATCTTCTTTGAACTTCTAGGAACCACAGCTCCTCACCGTGCCCCAAGCACCCCACCCCCCTGGCCTCTGTAGTTCTGTTGAAATCGCCCCATTTGTTTGCTCTGCAAATATCTGCTAAATGCCCATACCAAAGCAGCGTTGTTAAATGCAGCTATGTTTTGGGCAGTTGTCTCAGCATTTTTACTAGCATTAGCTCAGTGAATCCTCACAACCCTGTGAGGCAGGGACTTTATTCCTGTCGGAATTCACAGATGAAGAGTGTGAGGTTAGGTCAGGTGAAGTGACTGGCCCGAAGTCACAGGAAGGAGCTTTAAAGGAAAGAGCCAGAATTGCCACCCAGGCATTCTGGCTCCAGAACTGACATTCCAGTTGCCACAAGGTACTCTGTGGAGGCCCATGGGTTTTTCTGGTTTGGGTTTTTGGTTTTTTTTCTTTTCAAAGTCCGTCTTCTCTTTTCCTCTCTCTTCCCACCAAGGCCCTTATCACATGGTGCATGGATGTTATAACAGCCATCCAACTGATCTGGCTGACCGTAAGTGTCCCCTTCCACCTCAGGCCGTCCCCACACTGAGTGGCCTGATAATCCGCCCAACACGTGCTCCTCATCTTGTCTTCTGCCATTAAACAATATCTAATCTCTCTGGGAAGAGAAGACATTCACATATGAGTTCCTGAGATAACCCTGTAACGACAGTAAATATAATGAAGAATAAGAACAAAATGAACTCCGAGATCACTCCCCGCAAAGAAATTACATGATTTTCTCAGCACAAATTATAGGCGGGTGGACGGGGTAGGCACACAGAACTTCATCTGAGCACTGAATTTGAATTAGAAGGGGATGGGTTTTATTGTTTTTAATGTTTATTTTTGAGAGAGAGCACAAGTGGGTAAGGGACAGAGAGAGAGGGGGACACAGAATCCAAACAAACCTCCAGGCTCTGAGCTGTCAGCACAGAGCCAGACATGGGGCTTGAACTCACAAACCACGAGATCATGACCTAAGCCTGTCAGATGCTTAACCGACTGAGCCACCCAGAAGGGGATGGGTTTGCTGATGGGGTATTAAGAGCTGTGATCCCAGGCTGAACTCAGCACAAACCCTCCCCTTTGTAATATTTCCTTCTGCTCCTATCTACTAGTCCCAATCCTGACCTTTCAAGGTTTGGGATGAAGGAGACTGCCACCTTTTTCAGATTAAACCTCATCTAGACTGAGTATTCCCTTCTTCACTTCTGGTAAGTATTCCCAGCACTTACCTATACAACAGGGGCATATGCTCAAGCAACTAGTCTTCAGAGGAAACAAGTTTATGCTTTTTTTTTTTTTTTTTTTTTTTTTTTTTTTTTTTTTTTGAGAGAGAGAGAGAGACAGCGTGAGCAGGGGAGGGTCAGAGAGAGAGGGAGTCACAGACTGAAACAGGCTCCAGGCTCCGAGCTAGCAGTCAGCACAGAGCCCGACGCGGGGCTCGAACCCACGAACTGCGAGATCAGGACCTAAGCGAAAGTCGGACGCTTAACCGACTAAGCCACCCAGGCACCCCAACAAGTTTATGCTTTTTAAAGAAACAGATGGAAGAAGTCTTTATTTAAGAGGCAGGATTTTCCACAAAAAACAAAGTAGTGGCCTTCATGCAATAGCTTCCAGAGACCATGTCTTATTATTCGAGTGTTTATTATTTGCTCTTTACTTCCCATGCGTTATCTAATTGAATACTCAGATAATTTTTTCAAGGTAGGCTGTATTCTTATCCCATTTCGCAGATGAGTTCATGGAGATCACTAGGTTAAGGACTCAGCCCCCAGCCACACAGCTGCCCGTGTGGAGGCAGTGCAGGGCTGCCTGCAGAGCCCACGGTCTTATCTATTATGCCTCCCAGGAAACTGTTAAGGTCAGGACACTTGTTCCGCCTTCAGTTATGGATGGAAAACCATGAAGATGTGCCGCATGGGAGAGGTTTTGCCCCTGAGCCTGCGGGAGCCTGCACAGTGTTCAAACGAATGCACCTCTGAGTGGAAACCTCTCTGGGCTTCTATGGCTAAATGAGGCAATAGCACTAGACCGCCTAAGGCTGCGCTCTCCCTGGGCTGACATTCTGTGATTACTGTGCATTGGTGGAAGAGGGGGGAGCTAATTGAGTGAGTTAGTAATTTGGTTGCCAGGGTAACTCTTTCCTGATTGGAAGGAAGGGATCACAGGGTTCAACATAGACTTTGCTGGATAGGAAAGTGGTGTCTGATCTTCATTCCATGTCTTTGCTTATGAGCTGGAAAAAGAAGGGTGAAAATTGAATCCAAATATTGTAGCGTTTATGCCTAATTTAGAATGAAATCCTGGGGTGGCAGACTCTGCAGTTCTGTGAGGTGTGGCATTCCTTTCTCCACATCACTCGTTATTTGCCCATTTCTGTGTTTTAATTTATTTTGTATTTTTCTCATTGACTCTATAGCTTGTTCTTTTATCTCCTCCAGGCTGTTTTCTCTTGCCAGCTAGCTGTCTTCATAGGACGCTGAGGATTTTTAAGACTATGGTCGTGGCATACCTGGCTTTCCCCAGCTCAGCCTAGGGATCTGGGCTATGCTTTTCAGGGTTCTGATGGTGGGCTGTCATCTTGGACAACTACAGGGGCGTCATTCACATTGTAGTATGTGTGTGGAGTTGTACAGTGAACAATATTGGAGTATGTATGATGGTATTGGAAAGAGGCCTGAACTGGGAGCCCAGAGACCTGGGTTATAGACTCTGTTAGCGCTTTGACTTTCACAAGTGACTTTGGTAGGTGACTCTGTCCTGTCCCCTTCCTGGACTATTTTTCCACCTATATATAAAGTGGTCTAATAACTTAAGTCATTTGTGTAAACCTTGACTTATTTCAAAAAAGATTTTGGGTTGACTAGTAAGGCCTGAAATATTTTTTAAAAGATGGACAGTTTAGGGTTATACTGTATTTAAAGTGCCTGATAGTAGGGATTAGTTTTCTCCAGTCTTTCTTTTTAATTTTTTAAAAAAATTTTTGAGAGAGAGAGTGTTCACATAGGGGAGAGGGGCAGAATGAGAGAGAGAGAGAAAGAGAGAGCAAGAGAGCAAGAAAGGATATCTTTAGCAGTCTACTAAGCATGACGAGGCTCAATGGGGGTTCAACACAGGGTTTGATACCATGACCCTGCGATCATGACCTGAGCCAAAATCAAGAGTCAGATGCTTGGCTGACTGAGCCACCCAGGCTCTCCTCCAGTCTTCCTTTTTTAAGGACAGAGTAGTACTACATGAACCCCATGGTTGAGTTTAGTCTTAATCCATCATTACAAGAAGCCAGCACAGTTGGTGCAGTGGCATCGACTCATGGCCAGTTTGGCCCTGGATTGCTCCTACCCCTTTGACCTCCAGGAAATCCCATTCCCAGTAGGAAGCGGGGCTGAGGATCTCATGGGTACTCCAATGCCGGAGGAAGTCAGCACCTGACCACCTTCTTCCTGCTCAGCGTACAGATGTGGCAGCCACCTACACTCTCGGAGCTCCCCTTCCTCAGTGTTAGAGCCTCCTAATCACCCTTCCCTTGCCGAGCAGCAGTGACAAGCCTCCCAACATTTTCTGCACAGGGTGTGGGAAACAGCTGGCTTGACGTGCTCTGGAGGCACTTCTTACCAACTATCAGGGGCAGAAGGGATGGGGAGGCATAGACAACAGGCATGGAGTCCAAAAGGGAGTTAGAAAATCAGGACTGTAGGGGTGCCTGGGCGGCTCAGTTGGTTGAGCATCTGACTCTTGATTTTGGTTCAGGTCTTGATCTCAGGGGTTCTTTGGATAGAGCCCCAAGTCATCGGGCTCTGCACTGACAGCCAGGAGGCTGCTTGGGATTCTCTCTTTTCTTTTCTCTGCCCCTCCGCTGCTTGCACTGTCTTTCTCTTTCTCAAAATAAATAAAAAAGAAAAGAAAAGAAGAGAAAGAAAGAAAGAAAGAAAGAAAGAAAGAAAGAAAGAAAGAAAGAAAGAAAGAAAGAAAGAGAAAAACGGGACTGAATCATACAGCAGTCAAACCCAAAAGCACTTTTGGGACCATGACATGCCCTTCTTTCATGAGAAACCTCAGCCCCAGTCACTTGGCTACCAAGGGGCAGTCCTGGGTAGGAAGTAGTAGGGACTAGAGACTTCTTCAGTATGTGCCAGTCATGGTGGACTTTTTCCACATCTCACTTCTTGTCTATTGTACAGAAGGAAACCAAAGCCCACATGGGTCGATCAACTTGTCTAAGGACCCCATTTAATAAGTGGCCTTGAACTCTGGATACTATGTTGCCTAGTGTGGCTCCTTCCTGGAGGGAACAGGCTGCAGTAACTCAGAAAGGGAGGGATAGACAGGCTGTTATGTCACTGCTTCGGGAGAGAATGGCAGCAAACATGCTAAGGGCAAAGAGAGGAGTCCTTTCAGACACTGCCAGCCAGCTTTCCCACCGTGGGTTTGTATCCCAATCAGCCCCTTACCAAGAGTCGCCCCAGCCTTAAGGACTGCCTTGTGAAACAAGTCCACTTAATGACCACAGTAGAAAGAGAAAAAAAGTGATGAGCCTCCCAGTCTGCAGTGACAGGCTGATCTGATGTCCTTTGCTAATACAGTCAGAGGCGGCTTCATAAAACTCCATCACTGACTAGTAATCCAAAAGGCTCTAAGGTTTTAGTGAATGGGATTGGTCCAAAACCTGACCTCACTTTCATTTAATTTCATGCCAGCACCAATGCACACCCAGCCACACAGACCCTGCTTAACTAGTGAGCTGCTCAGACACAAAGGCGCTCTAATTACCATCCACAAGCGGGGCAGACAAGGATTTCAAGTGTTTTTAAGGTTTATGGATTATAGAAATGTGTTCTCTGCATCTTTCCCACCGAGGGCAAGTATAAAACCCAACAATCAACTCAACGCATTTATTAAAAACAAGTATTTCAGTTAAGTTAAAATCCTACAATCAGGATAGCCACAATTCCCGACACTCCGGTGCGAAGCGTAGATATGTCAATAGCCACATCTGGATGATGAACAAGCCATTGAATCTTATAAAACTATAACACCAACGAAACGGTTTTAGATCCCTCAGAGTAAGTGAACAGTATGTTAAAGCACTTTACCACTATTCACAATGGCAAAGCCTGCAGCTTCTCCATTTGGAGGGTCACATTTTCTACTCGGTTTCCTTCACTTACAAAGGCGAGCTGGCATGGCTGGGGGAGGGGCAGAGGGAGGAAATCAACTCCGTCTATCCAGGGAATTGCAGCTGTTATTGCAAATGGCCCCGGAGAGTCCATTATAAGCTGCTGTGCGAGGCTGTGTCCCCGGAGTGCACGTCACGTGGCGTCTCCCCAGCCCCCAGCCCTGGCCCCGAGGAGCACCAGCGCCACTCGCTTGGAGTAGAACAGTAGAGCCGAGGGGGAGTGCGGGGACCCGAGGCTAAGACTCTGGCAGTTTCTGTGAGAGCCCAGGGCGCGGCCGCCCGCAGAAGTCACCGGCGCCCGTCACGTCCCCGCCTCCCCATACCCGCGGTGGCCGCGGTGCGCGTGTCCTTAGGAGACTCCAGTACTTGCAAAACACCGAGCTCTTCTCCCGAGTACAGGCAGAACCCGGCAACTCTTCTGCTCTACTGGAGCCCCGGAACCCTGCCTGCGCTCAGGAAACCGTGACCTTGAACCCGAGGAGGAGAGGCCCGGCTGTGAAAGTATTTTAGAGAGGAAGGAGGGTTCACTCCACTTCCCAGCTTACCCTTTCCCCAGCACCGCCCGCCCCCTCCTCCCGTCCGGGTCTCGCACACCACCTTTCCCTGCCACGCCGAGAACCGCAGCCAGTTGCAAAACGGGGGACAGAGAAAACGTTACTCCTATTCACTTCCCAAGAAGGTCCTTTCACGGTACCGCGTGTTTTGTATTAAGAACCAGCACCCGAAAGACATGAGATGCGTTTTTTTTAAGAGTCACAAATTTTCAAGTCTGGCAGTTTGAGGTTCTCCCTGAAATGACCGTCTACTCATGTTCCCCTCCCCCAGAGTGGATCAGGAACCAGCCCTGAAAAGGTAAAAGTAACTGGGATCATCCTCGTCTTTGAGACGCTCGGCGATCCTGAGAAGCGTGGAGGGTGGCCACGTGGTCGCCGGGCCGGAGGGCCCAGAGAGGCTGCGTGGGGCTGCAAGCTGCAGCGTCCGGGCTGGTCACGCCAAATAAGGAGTCCTCCTGAACGTGAGCTTGGAGTGCGCTCTGTAATCTGCCTCACAACAGGGCCAGCCAAGTTCTGTTTCAAACACATTGGGGCCCTCCATCAATTCCCCGAGGAAATATTCGCGGTTTTCCATTCCTCGTCTGCATTAGCTTATTTTCCCCGTTTCCAACTGCGCGAGTTCACCAGCCTGAATAGGGATACAGCCGTCAGAGGAATCCCTTGCCCTCCAGGCAGAGGCTGGCGCTGTGGCCACTCCGGGGTGTTAGCTGCCAGGTACCAGAACGCCATCGCCAGTTCTGAGCTGCGCGCTCCTCCCGGACGCACCGGGGTCGCTGCAGGCCGCGCGAGGGCTGCGGGGCGAAGGAGGCTCATGCACTGGGGCCGACAGAGGCCCCGGGAGCCGGCGCTGGGGAAGCTTTGCGTGTAACTGCAGCCGTCGCGAATGTAGTCTCCGCACCGCCTCCTTGATGAGGTTCCCCGAGAGCACCAGCTGCTGCAGGAGCCGGTGCGGATCGTCGTCGCCGGTGCGGGATTCGGGCTGGGTCCCGCGTCGCTGTTGCAGGCGGCGGGAGGCGGCAGCGCCCCGCAGCCAACCTCGCCGGCATGGCCCGGGCAGCGCGCTGGGGCCTGCGGCGAGCTCGGCCACAAAGTAGGGCGCAGCCCGGCCCCGCACGCGGCCGCGGTCCCCGAGGGCGCAGCGCAGGGCCCCCGGGGGCGCCGGGCCCACAGCCTCGGCCGGCGCGGGCGGCAGAAGCAGCGGCAGCGCCGGGGGCCGGGCCTTGTCCGCCCGCACGGCCGCCGGGGGCCGCGGGGGCTGCAGCGGCGGCCCCGGGGGCGCGCACGGGGAGGCCGGGCTGTCCTGCGCCGCGTCCAGCTGCAGCGTCTCGCCGATCTGGGCCACCAGCAGGTCCACCTCGCCCGAGCCGCCCAGCGTCACCGACTGCTCCAGCAGGAGGAAGCTGTCGTCGTCGTCCTCCTCCTCCGCCTCCCCCTCCGCTTCCTCGCCGGCTTCCTCTTCCTCCTCCCTCCGGCACGGCATGGCCCCCCGCCCGGGCGCACGGAGCTCGGCGGCCGGCGCTGGCGGCTCGGCGGCCCGCGGGGCTCGGTGGGCCGCGGCGGAGCGGGGCACGGTGCTGAGGCCGGAGCGGGGGCCGGGGCCGGGGCCGGGGCGGACGCGGAAGCGGGAGCCCGCCAGGCACTCTCGCCGCGCGCCTGCAGCCGCGGGAGCCGGAATCCTACCGGCTCGGGTTGATTTGTAAACAATGGGTGACGTCGCCGCCGGGCCCTACCACCGCGCCGGGCCGGGGGTGCGCTGTACGGTTGGGAGACGGGCGCCCGCTGGGCCCGGGTGCAGGGGGAAGCCTAGCTGCTTCTGAGTCCCCCAGCCGCGAGTGCTGTGTGCGGGAGAGCACTGGGGGCCGGATACCCGCTCTGTCAGCCGGGCGTGGTTGGCATTTCCAGAAAATGAACACCGGCGTGGACTCAGTTGGTTTCTTCCACACACAAACACAGACACTTACACCTACACACCCACACACTCCCCTCCTGTAGGCGCGTCAACTCGTCTGGATTTGGTTTTTGCGCTTTTGAGGTCCGGGTCTGGGACCAGCGTCTGGGAAGTGGTGACCCGGCGAATGAAGGGAGGATGGAGAGGAGAAGGGGAGGATCTCTCAGGCGAGAGATCTGTCTGGAGATTAGGGAAACGAGGCTGACAGCGATGAAAAGGAAGACCAGGACCGTGTGGTGTGGTGGAGTGCGAAGGGTAGGTGGTAGAGTTAGAATTGGCAAAGAAACGCCACAGAGGAATGTTTCTTGACCAGGAGCATGGGTATATGGAGGCCTGGACTGGGGCTGGCATTCCTGGAGAGGAGGAGGTCGTTCGTCTGGGGCGGCGGGGGTGTGAGCTGAGCTAGAAAGTTCTAAGAATGCCTCAGCTCAGCAGGGGAGTATCTTCTCTGAGGGGGACACAGGAGAGGAAAATGATCTGTTAAGATGGAAATGGAGATGTGGATCAGTTTAACTCTTCAAGATAGCATGGTTGGCTTAATGATTAACCAAGACTTCATTTTTTTTAAAAGGAGGAGGGATAGAAAAATGATTCTTTTCTGTCTTGTTGCCTGGAAGTTTTAGATCTTTATTCAAAACCCCAAATCCCGCAGGCCTAACTTCCAAACCGTACACTTGTAGGTAGACTTTTGGTGGCCCAGCCTTTACAAGCCAATCAGGGGAGGTATACTATCAGGGTGAGAAATATTCAAAACCAGATAATGGTCATGGTTGAACAACTTAGTAAATTTACTAAAAATCACTGAATGGTCTCTTTTTAAAAAAACACACACATAACGTTTATTTATTTTTGAGAGGGAGAGAGAGCATCAGAGGGGGATGTAGGGGGACAGAGAATCCGAAGTGGGCTCCACACTGACAGCAGAGAGCCAAATGCGGACTGGAATTCACGAACCCTGAGATCATGACCTGAGCTGAAGTTGGACGTTCAATGGACTGAGCCACCCAGGTGGCCCTCTCTCTTTTTCCAAAAATATGTATTCATTTTGAGAGAGAGGGAGAGAGAGAATCCCAAGCAGGCTCACCTCAGCACAGAGCCTAATGTGGAGCTGGATCCCACAAATTGGGAGATCGTGACCTGAGCAGAAACCAAAGAGTGGATTTTTCAACCAGCTGAGCCACCAGGAGCCCCTGAATGGTCTCTTAAGATGAGTGAATTTCATATGTTAATTAAATGTCAATAAAGCTGTTTTAAAAATTTAAATTATTTTTAAAAAATTTAAAAATAAAAAACCACAATGCATGCACACAGAAATACAAAAGTCAGGCAGTAGGGGGCTACTTTAGAATAGGCAGCAGGAGAGTAGCCTAATTTAGAAAGGGGGTGCCAGAGGAAAAGACTGGATACTGAGATCCAGATAAGGAGAAACAAGGGTGTTGGTGGGCAGTTCCAAGGATGGAATTACAAAAGCAAACCTTCAAGGAGAGATGAGATGGAGGGAATAGGTGAGTAGTTGTTTATAAAGTGTTGGGCTTCTTCTTGCTAAGTGTGGAGAGAAGAATGTGGGAATAAAGGAAGAGGCAGTTTGAAAAAAGCCAGGGAATTTTTAAATCTTGGAAATGTGGACCTCTACAGGGTGTCATAAAATTCATCATCTCTTTTTAGTAGATTCCTTAGGATTTCCTATATATAATGGTCATAACATCTGCAAAGAAAGATAGTTTTACTTGTTTCTAGTCTGGAGGACTTTTATCTTTCTTGCCTGGTTGCCCAGCTAGAATTCCTAGAACAACGTTAAGGAGAAATGGTGAGGGCAAACATCCCTGTCTTGTTCTTGATCTTAAGGGAAAGCATTTGGTCTTTCATCAAGTGTGATGTTGGCTGTGGGTTTTTATAAAAACATGGCTCCATCAGATTGATGACATTCCCTTCTATTCCAGGTTTGTCAAGTATTTTTATCACGAAAGGCCCATCCCCTCATTTTAAATCATTATTCTTTTTTAAATTTTATTTTAGAGAGAAAGAGAAAGTGTGTGTGTACATGTAAGCAGGGGAGGGGGCAGAGAGAGAGAGAGAGAGAGAGAAGAACCTAAGCAGGTTCCACGCTCGGTTCAGAGTCTCACAACCCTGGGATCATCGCCTGTGCCAAAATCAAGAGTCAGGGCACTCAACTGACTAAGCCATCCAGGTGCCTCTTAAATTTATTATTCATGTGAAAGTATGGTCAAGGCAGACATTTATTAGCTTTAATATTCTGAACCTAATTATTTAAAAACTTAAGATGAAAATAATTAGTAGCAATTTACAATTTGTGTTTTAAAAATTTTTTTGTGTTTATTTTTGAGAGAGAGACAGAGACAGAGTGCTATCAGGGAAGGGGCAGAGAGAGAGAGGGAGACACAGAACCTAAAGCAGGCTCCAGACTCCATGCTGTCAGCACAGAGCTGGATGTGGGGCTCAAAGGCATGAACTGTGAGATCATGACCTGAGCCAAAGTTGGACGCTTAACCGACAGCCACCCAGGTGCCCTCAATTTGTGTGTGTGTGTTTTAAAGTTTATTTTAAAAGAGAGCAAGAGAGAGAGAAAAGTAGAGAGGGAATCCCAATAAGCTTGAAGGAAAGTCTGGGAGGGGCAGAGAGCACAAATGGGGAAGGGGTAGAGAGAGGGAGACACAGAATCCGAAACAGGCTCCAGGCTCTGAGCTGACAGCACAGAGCCCGACGTGGGGCTCAAACTCACAAACTGAATTGTGAGATCATGACCTGAGCCGAAGGCCGGTGCTCAGCTGAGGTGTCTGGGTGGCCCTGTTGATTCAGTGGCTGACTCTTGATTTTAACCCAGGTCATGATCTTGTGGTAGTGGGAGGGAGCCCCACATCCAGCTGCTCCCTGGGCTTGGAGCTTGCTTAAGATTCTCATTCCCTCTACCCCACCCCAACTCTCGTAACTGCATGCTCTAAATATATAAATATTAAACAAAACAAATAAATAATTCACTTTAGATGGATGTATGTGTCAATCTTTTTCAATGCTAAAAAATATTAATGGTAACATCTAGGTGCTGGGTAACAGGACAGGTCACTGTCAAATTCTTTCACTTTTGTTGGCCGAAAAATTTTAGAATAAAATGCTAGAAAAAATAAGCCACAGAAAAGAGCTGATTAATTTTATGGCTTGCTTCAGAACTGCTCGGGACATGGAGCAGGGGGTGGGGAAGGGGGCGCGCAGGGCTGACAACTGGGAAGGAAGCAGCAAGGGAACAGCATGCTGGCAGGTTGCCTGTCACACGGCAGGGGAATTGTGTAGACTCATTCTCCAGTGTTGAAAGGATGCAGACGGTCTGCTGCAGGCCAAGCAAATTCTTGACCACTGTGGAGGGTTTCAAACTGTATGGCAGGAATGAGGCTTGACGCTGTTTTCCGAGGCCAGTGGCATCCCTGAGTGGTGAGCAATGGGCAGAAATGGACTCGCCTCTTTGCCAGTCCCTTTGTTGTCGCCCGGTGCCTGGCAGGGAGACTGGAGGAACTTAGCTGGTTGGGGGTTGCTGCGGGGGGTGGGGGAGTGTATGGAGGGAATTTAAGAGATTAGGGGATTCACACTGAGATGCAAAGAGGTGCTAATGAGATATTAAACACCTCTCGGTGGAATAGCAGCTGAAGAAGCTGCAAACAGAGAAGGCAGACGTGGAAAATGTCTTGAAGTTGCTGATAGGGTGGGAAAGAGAACAGGCACGGGCCAGGGATGTCTGTAACTTGGTAGTTAAACTGGATGAACGGCTTTGGGCTAACAGTGATTCAGCAGTGTGAAAGATTTTGCCAGGAAGAAAAGACTCGAGACTGGGGAAGGGGCTGAGGGGTGCAGGCAGCAGGTGGAGACTTGAGTGCACTGCGTTGAATGGAGCTCCCTCCAGATTCCTGTCTGCCTGGAACCTGTAAATGGAACCTTATTTGGAAAGACGGTCTTTGCAGATGTAATCAAGCTAAGATGAGGTCAAACTGGAGTCAGCCGGGCTCTGATGCAGTGGCTGGTATCCTTATAAAAGAGGGAAATCTGGACACAGAGACACACAGGGAGAAGGCTGTGTGTCCACAGAGGCAGAGATGGAGAGGTATTGGCACAAGCCAGAGAACACCAAGGATTGTCAGCAATCACCAGAAGCCTACCGAGAGCATGGAACAGCTCCTCCCTCAGAGTCCTCCGAAAGGACACCTTGATATTGGACTTCTGGCCTCCAAAACTGTGAGAGAATCAATTCCTGTTGTTTTAAGGCACCAAGGTTTTGGTAATTTGTTATAGCAGTCCTAGGGAACTAGAGCGAGTAATTTCAAGAAATTGTGTAAAATGTGTAAGCCGTGGAGAAATTTATTGAAGGCTCTGGGGGAGTTCTGAGAATCAGTGGAAAAACTGAAGGGCTGAGGGCCTCTCTGATAGATGTTGGGTCACGCTACGCCCAGTGACATCTACCATGAGAACAGCAATAAAGAATGAAGAGATAAAAAACAAGTGGCCAATAACCCCTTTCTGGGTGTTCATCATAGGTTAAAAAAAAAAAAAAAAGGCCACATCAGGAACACACCTCCACAGGGACTCTTAGGGATGACCCCATGTAGGCGGATGCAGTTAGCACTCCTGCTTCTGGAACTGCAGAAAAGCTTGTGATGTCCTTGCCAAAGGGACAGCAGCAGGAAGGAGAGAGTAGGAGTCAAGGCAGGCACTCTTG